GTACAAAAATCACTTAACACTGACGATTCTCGGGTGTTGACAGATTGTGGTTTAAGTGGCTAACGAAAGAGGCAAAACGGACCATAGGTTACTGTTACGACAGATTACTGTTTTTTCTATTGTAGCCCCTCGTTGTAAATATATGTCAATTTTGTTCTCGGAATATAGTTTTTCATGGATAATTATGCACAAACCTAATAATGTGATTGGATAGCACGATTTCAGGTGTTTGTTGCGAATAACATAAACAAAATGTTGTTCGGATTCAGCTATGATTACGACAACTGCGATCGGCTGGAAAAAGTTGTTGACGGATTTAACACTTTGTTCGAGAAGATGAAGTAGGTAACTTATAACCATTTCCTTTACCATCATCAGTCGGATGAGACCCCAACCATTGCGGTTGTGTCATCAAGGCAGCAAACCCAGCAAATTAGGTAACAAGTTTTACCAGTATTTTTTTCAGGGGGAGCAAGCTGACCCTCTTTGGTCATGGGTTCCCAGTTATCTATCGCTTTTCACTTCTCAGATACTTTGCGATGGAACGTTTCCGGAGGATTCTTAGAGGAGTAGGAATTACAGTTTTATCATATTCATAGGTTTTTGTTCTTATCTGGTTGTTTTCGAGTTGCCATGCCGACTATTTCACTTACAGCCTAGTCAAATAATCAAAGAAAACGTGGCAAGGGCTCTTGAATCATATTCGGTGGATCAGGAACCTGAATGTTTAGTGCAAGCCTACTACCGAAAAATGCAGTCTAGTCCAGCTCTGAAGTAAGTTGAAGTAACCCGTATAAGTCGTAGTCTGCAACTACATACTCGAAGGGCTCCTCCAGTGACACTGTTCGAAACTCTCTCGTTTTGTATTCTGATGGGCACTACTAACTAGGTTATGTGAACCCATTTCCATTTGAGTACCCCATTTCTATTACTCATAACCTTCACGGAAACTGATTTTATCCGTCCTCAATTGAGCTTTTCCATCTAAGTTCATATTTACTGAGTACTTCACTGTTTACTAAAATTACTAAAAACGCTTAAGTTCAGGGGAAGTAAATTGTCTCAGCTTGGACGGCTAGACCAATTTCTGTTTTTGCTAAAAAAATTCTGAAATATTTAAACAGACTTACGTGTGGGTGGTAAGCCAATGCGTTAAAGCCAATAGGAAGGCGAGAGCGAGTGGGATCTCGGTAGTATCTTACTATATATAATCCGCAAACGTCCGTTTGTTTGTATGTTTGTATGTCTGTTTGTCCTTCCGAAAGTCACGTAGGCACAATGTAGATGTAAATATCACGTGAGCGCGTTGAGGAAACGGTTATGAAATGGGAAGTCAACCGACACTATTGTTGGTACTCTAATAAATCGTCGGTAAACGATAGCGAGTATAAGGTGCACGCGTTAGCATGCGTGCGTGAGCAACTGGTAAGGAATAAAGTGCACGGTGCTCTGTTAACACAAGATAGAGTTCGAGTCCCATTCGAGGCTGGGGTTTCGTCTCTGAATGCCCAAATTGGGACTAACTTGTGAAAGTTGGATCGCGTAATGCGAAGAAACAGTTGTTGTCACTGAAACAGCAGTCAACAGAAAACAAAGTCAAGAAGCTGCACTGAAATACCATAAATTACAATCATCCAACAGTCTCTCTATGTTTATTTCCTTTTCAGTGAAAATAATCTTCTTGAATTATGCATGGACTTCTTCATGGCAGGTATGGAGTCAACTACATTAACTCTCAAATGGGCCACCTTGCTTTTGGCAGCCCATACCGATAAGCAGGTGTTTTTATTTGAGAGTTTTAGTAAATTACCAACTGAACGTATATTCAAAATAAACTTCAAATGCCAATTAAACCTTCTCACAATATTCGGTGCAAGTATTATACTATTAAGCTATCTTATTTCATGTACGGCTTTCTATGAACCTCGGCATGATTATATTACTGAATTTGTTGTTGTCTTGAACTCTTCACGAGGTTTTTAAATAACCTTTATTAGGCTGACGTTTCG